GGTCCCAAACTGGAATCAAACAAAAAGTTAGTAACAGACAACAGGAAATTAAGTAACATATTTCTAAATAATCCATGAGTCAAAGAGGAAGACTCAGAGGAAATTTTTTTTAAAATACACTGGACAGAATGAAAATGAAAATACAACATATCAAAATGTATGGAATACAGCTAAAGTAGTTCTGAGAGGGAAATTATAGTGTATAGTGCTACATTCTTACACTGAAAATGAGAAAAGATTTCAAATCGACAATCTAAGTTGTTACTTCAAACAAGAAAAAGAAAATAAACCCGAAGTAAGAAGACGGAAGAAACTACTAAGATATAGGGATACAAAAAAGTTTAACACAGAAAAAACAGAAAAAAGATATACAGTGCCAATTCTAACCAAAATAGAACTCATGCAGCTATATTTTTTCAAGTAGCTATATTAATATGAAAGTAATAAGAAGAGCATAATGATAAAAGCTTCAAATAACCAGAAAGATGAAACACATGAAAATATATCCTCAATATATATAATTAAAAGTTGTAAGAACTACAAGAAGAAATAAACAAATCTGTAATCAAAGTGGGATATTTTAACACAGCTCTATTAGTAATGAATAAAAACAAAGTAATCACTAAGTATATATAACACATTCAAATTAGCAAACTTTAATATACATAGGATGCTGTACCAAACAACTATAGAATTCACATTCTTTTAAAGTACATATTTAACATTTATAAAAAGTAATTAAGCATGAGCTGGCTAATATATAACATATTTTTAGAATTTAAATCAGAGTATGTTCCTTGACCACAATGGAATTAAGCTAGGAATCAATGACAAAGAAAACTAGAAAAACTCCCCTAAAAATAAAAAAAATAAACTTCTAAATGACTCATCAGTCAAAGAAGAAATGAGTGCTTGGAGAAATATGCTGAACTGAATGATAATGAAAATTATACAAATTAAAACTTGAAGGATACAGCTAAAAGTCATGTTTAGAGGGAGATTTATTAATGAATACATCAGAGGAAAAAAATGTCTAAAAGTGAAAGATTTAGGTGTTATAAGAAGTTAGAAAGAAAACAGCAAATGAAACCCAAAGAAAGCAGAAAGAAAAAATAAAGATAAGAAATTACTGATAGTGGAAAAAAAAGTATGATAGAGATGACCAAAAAAGCTAAAAATTGGTTCTTTTCTTCAAAGAAACTATTGATAAATCCCTGGACAAGACTATTCATGAAATAAATAGAGGCAACACAAACAACTAGTATCTGGAATGGAAAAGAGACATCACAATACATTAAATGGACATTAAAACCTCATAAAAAGATATTCTGAACAACTGTATGCCAGTAAATTTGAAAAATTAGATAAAATATTCAAATTACCAAAAAAAAACTTTCAGAAACTGATAAAAAGAGAAATGGAAAATCAGACGAGTATTATAGTTATTAAAGAAATTAAATCAGTAATTGAAACTGCCTACAAAGGAACCCCAGGCTCAGATGTATTCTACCAAATATTTAAGAAAGAAAGAATACCAATCTTAAATAAACTCTTCTAAAAAACAGAAAATGATAAAATAATCCCCCAAAACTTTAATGAGGCCAACATAACCTTTATATTAAAACTTGACAAGAAAAATTACTGGCCAGTCTCGCTCAAACACACATGCAAAAAATCCTAAGTAAAAGATCAGCAAATAGAAACAGGGATATATAAAAAGAATAATAATATATTACAAGTTACTTGGGCTTATTCCAGGAATACAAAGGTGGTAATATGAAAAACCATCAATGCAATTACCAAATTAACAGAATAAAGGACAAAAATTTTATACTCATCTTAATAGAAAAAAAGCATCTGATAAAACTCAACATTTATTCATATTAAAAAATAACAGGGCTTCCCTGGTGGCGCAGTGGTTGAGAGTCCTCCTGCCGATGCAGGGGACACGGGTTCGTGCCCCGGTCCGGGAAGATCCCACATGCCGTGGAGCGGCTGGGCCCGTGAGCCATGGCCGCTGAGCCTGCGCGTCTGGAGCCTGTGCACCACAACGGGAGAGGCCACAGCAGTGAGAGGCCCGCATACCGCAAAAAAATAAAAAAAAACAACAGACTCTCTTAGCAAACTAGGAATAGAAGAAAATCCTTAATCTGATTAAACTATCAATATAAAAACTACAGTGAATGGGCTTCCTTGGTGGCGCAGTGGTTGAGAGTCCGCCTGCCGTTGCAGGGGACACGGGTTCGTGCGCTGTTCCGCAAGGATCCCACATGCCGCGGAGCGGCTGGGCCCATGAGCCATGGCCGCTGAGCCTGCATGTCCGGAGCCTGTGCTCCGCAACGGGAGAAGCCACAACAGTGAGAGGCCCACGTACCGCAAAAAAAACCAATCAAACAAAAACTACAGTGAACATCCTACTTAATCATAAATTATTAAAAGCTAATAAATTATGAAATTAAATGATACCCATTATCACCACTTTTAGTTAGCAGTTTACTGGTGGTCTTAGCAAGTGCAATAAAGAAAAAGAATAAAGGATATAAGAATTAGAAAAATAATATTAAAAGTAGAATTTACAGATGATATGCTTGCGTAAATTGACATTAAAATGCATCAGGATTAAAATGAATTGAGCAAAGTGGTTGAATACATATTTAGCAAGGGTTCAGCAAGGTGGGAATACCACGAAGTATACAAAACTCAACTGCACTCCACGAATCAGCAATATCCATTAAGATACTATTTATTTTCAAAAAGACTACAAAAGCATCAAAAAAGTCAATACCTAGAATAAATGTAATAAAAAACGCACAAGACCAATACACAGAAACCTAAAACTAAATAATGAGATAAATTAGAGAAGGCACAATAAATAAAAGAATATTCTACACTGTTAGATTAGAAAACCTAGTGTTGGAAACATGTCAATTCTTTCCAAAGCAATCTACAGTTGACCCTTGAACAATACAGGGGTTAGGGGCCCTGACTCCTGTACAGTCAAAAATTTGCATATAACCTTACAGTCAGCCCTTCATATCCACGGTTCCACATCCACAGATTCAACCAAACGTGGATCCTATAGAGCCTATTTTTGAAAAAAAGATCTGCATATAAGTGGACCCGTGCAGTTCAAACCTGTGTTGTTCAAGAGTCAACTGTATCCCCAATCAAAATCCCTACACTTGGGTGAGGGGAGAAATTTGAAAAGCTGTTTCTAGCAATTTTAATGAAAATACAAGGCAAAAGAAGCATGGGGCCAAAACTAGCCAAGACTTTATAATCAAATCAAGAGGGAAGACTTACTCTACTGTATCTCAAAACATTTTATAAAACTGCCATAATTAACAACAATGTTATACTGCCATAAAGACTAGAGGAAGAGAACAAAAAAATAGAGAATCTAGAAATACCATAAAAACACTGATGATTCATGACAAAGATGGCACAAAAAAACAGTAATGAAAGGACAGTCTTTTCAATAAATGGCGAAGGGTTAATTTAATACACACATGGAAAAACTGACTCCTGTGTTACACAAACTCAATTCTGGGAAGACTATAGCTCTAAGTGTTGCAAGTAAAAAATGGAGTTTTTAGATACTAACATAGGAGAATACATTCATGAGCTTGAGGTAGAGAAAAATTCTTAAAGAGAACACAAAAGCAGTACCACACTAGAAAGATCAATAAAGCAGAGTATGTTAAATTTTTTCTGTTCATCAAGAGACAAATTAAGAGAGTGGAAAAGCAACAAGAGCACCAGAAAAGGTATTTGCAACATATGTATCAACAAACAGCTTATATCTAAGACACATGAAAAACTCCTTAAAAATTACACACACACACCACACATGCCATATGGCTGGGTCAACAGGCTATATACATAGAAACAAGAGATACTTAATTTTTAAACAAGAAGGAAATAACATACACATGAGGCTATATCCATAGAGACAAGAGATTCTTAATTTTTAAACAAGAAAGAAATAACATACACATGCTTTGTATACAACTTAACAGCCACATATTCTTGCTTTCTTACTAAAAGGACTTCTCTAATAAGTTTGTTATCTCTCTCTCATCAATCAACAAAAAAACTTTTAAGTTACATTAATTTGATTTCACCTTATTGTAAATCTTACGATTTTTTAAAATTTTGTATGTAGGTGGGTGTCTTCTATAATACAATTAAAAAGAGTACAGCCAAAATATTGTGATGATGGCCTCTATTGGGATCTAGATTTCTCTAGCTCTGTTTTAAGATTCTGTATTTTAGAAAGGTATTATTCCAAGAAAAATATCTGAATTTAGTAGCATCTCCATTCTTTTCCATATATTTTCAGTGTTTAAACAAACAAACAAGTTTTAAGTCAAATACTTAATAGCTTTCTTACATTAAAAATTTTTCATTTGGAATACCACTATTTTGATCAGATAAATCTGGTGTTCTTAATTAAAATCTTGCTTTCAAAATTTCCACAGATATGTAGTGAATCAAACAAGTCATTTCATTCATGAAAAATGTGCACAATATGTGGGTTCCAAACATTCTGCATCAAATTCAAACAATTGATAACTATGTATCTTTGTGATTAAGAGCAAGACAATCTTGAGTTCACAGCTCTGGCATTAATCAGCTGTGTACTTAGGTAAATTACTTTATTCTCTGAATCTCAGAATTTGCATCTGTATAATGCCAGTAAAAATTCCTACCTCCTAGATTCCTAAAAAGATTCAATAAGATAATGTAACTAATGATCCTAACATAAAGCACTCAGTACGTGAAAAGATGAATGTCCCACTACCATGGAATATACTAATGCCAGAAACTTCAATCCTACAAGCAGTTATAAAACAATGGTCAGATGCCTCCAATAAAACAATTTTAAAAATAATAATAACAACAACTAAAAAAAAATGGTCAGAAGCTCTTAAGCAACATGTGATCTATTAGCTAACGGTAATATCTGTAGAGTTTACTGCTTTGTCATTAATATTTACCTGCAAGATTGTCAAGCATGAAGTTCAGTAGCTTTCGGGTTCCATCTGGGTCCTGGTATAAATTGAGAATATCCTGTGATAAAGGATTGCCTAAAGACAAAGAGAAAAATAAAATCTGTAAGAGTTACAATTGGAAGACAAAACAAATATACACTATAAAACAAAATACTAATTTTCTAAAGTGAATTTTACTGTACTTAATCTGTTACATAAATTTAAAGAAATCACAGGAACTAAATACTCTTTGTTGAGCAAGTCATAAAGAAAAACTTCAAAAGAATTATTTCTTTCCAGGCTTCAGTTTATACTGTATACCTGTAATTTGGGTGTGTCACAATCATATATATACATACATACACACACACACACACACACACACATACATATCAATCTTGGTCAGTTCTGAAGTAATATCAAAACTTGGCACCCTTAAGTAACCCATAGGTTCTACATTTATCTTTGAAGATAATACTCTAACTGAAAGAAAAACAGCCTTGTATGAGAAAGAACGAGTGATATAAATGAGGGTCTCCCTAATTAGAATACTTATACTACACATGGAGAAAAGGAAGGTATTTCAAGTGAAAAGAAAACCTATCATTACAAAGATGACTTAATGAAATGTAGAGGGAAATAAGAATTTTTTTTATGACAGTGATCAGGGTTATCTGAATACTGAGAGTACAGAATTATCAAATTTCAAAAAACAAACTACTGTTAACAGTCTATATATTCTCTTAAGAAATAAAGGCGGTATTTATTAAGACAAGCATGCAAAACTAGTCTAGCAAACAGATTTGAAAAAACAAAAATTGAAGACCTTTCAGAAATGAAGTTTCTAACTATTAAAACAAAATCTTTGGAGGAAGACAGGAAGATGGCGGAAGAGTAAGATGCGGAGATCACCTTCCTCCCCACAGATACACCAGAAATACATCTACACGTGGAACAACTCCTACAGAACACCTACTGAACACTGGCAGAAGACCTCAGACCTCCCAAAAGGCAAGAAACTCCCCACGTACCTGCGTAGGGCAAAAGAAAAAAGAATAAACAGACAAAAGGATAGGGACAGGACCTGCACCAGTGGGAGGGAGCCGTGAAGGAGGAAAGGTTTCCACACAGAAGACCCTTCGCGGGCGGAGACTGCGGGTGGCGGAGGGGGGAAGCACAGCAACAGGGGTGAGGAGGGCAAAGCAGACAGATTCCCACACAGAGTATCGGTGCCGATCGGCACTCACCAGCCCAGAAAGGCTTGTCTGCTCACCCGACGGGGCGGGTGGGGCTGCGAGCTGAGGCTCAGCCTTCGGTCAGAGCGCAGGGAGAGGACTGGGGTTGGCAGCGTGAACACAGCCGGAAGGGGGTGAGTGCGCCACGGCTGGCCAGGAGGGAGTGCGGGAAAAATCTAGACCTGCCAAAGAGGCAAGAGACTTTTTTTTCCCTCTTTGTTTCCTGGTGCGCGAGGAGAGGGGATTAAGAGCACTGCTTAAAGGAGTTCCAGAGGCGGGCGTGAGCCGCGGCTAAAAGTGCGGACCCCAGAGACGGTCATGAAACGCTAAGGCTGCTGCTGCCACCACCAAGAAACCTGTGTGCGAGCACAGGTCACTATCCACAGCCCCCTTCCCAGAAACCTGTGCAGCTCGCCACTGCCAGGGTCCCGGGATCCAGGGACAACTTCCCGGGGAGAATGCACGGCACGCCTCAGGCTGGTGCAACGTCACGCTGGCCTCTGCCGCCGCAGGCTCGCCCCGCACTCCGTGCCCCTCCCTCCACCCCCCAACCGGCCTGAGTGAGCCAGAGCCCCTGAAGCAGCTGCTCCTTTAACCCCGTCCTGTCTGAGCGAAGAACAGACGCCCTCTGGCAACCTACACGCAGAGGCGGGTCCAAATCCAAAGCTGAGACCCTGGGAGCTGTGAGAACAAAGAAGAGAGAGGGAAATCTCCCCAGCAGCCTCAGAAGCAGCGGATTAAAGATGCACAATCAACTTTATGTACCCTGCATCTGTGGAATACATGAATAGAAAACGAATCATCCCAAATTAAGGAGATGGGCTTTGAGAGCAAGATTTATGATTTTTTCCCCTTTTCCTCTTTTTGAAAGTGTGTATGTGTATGCTTCTGTGTCAGATTTTGTCTGTATAGCTTTGCTTCCACCATTTGTCCTAGGGTTCTATCTGTGCGTTTTCGTTTTTGAAAAATTTTTTTTTCTTAATAATTATTTTTTATTTTAATAACTTTATTATATTTTATCTTACTTTATTTTATTTTACTTTATCTTCTTTCTTTCCTTCCTTCCCTACTTTAGACAACAAATCATCCCAAATTGAGGAGGTAGACTTTGAGAGCAAGATTTATGATTTTCTCCTTTTCCTCTTTTTGTGAGTGTGTATGTGTATGCTTCTGTGTGAGATTTTGTCCCTATAGCTTTGCTTCCACCATTTGTCCTAGGGTTCTATCCGTCCGTTTTTTTGTTCTCTTTAAATTTTTTTACTTAATAATTATTTTTTATTATACTAACTTTATTATATTTTATCTTACTTTATTTTACTTTATCTTCTTTCTTTCGTTCGTTCTTTTCTTTTCTTTCTTCTACTAATTCTTTCTTTCCACTTTTGCTCCCTTTTATTCTGAGCCGTGTGGATAAAAGGCTCCTGGTGCTACAGCCAGGAGTCAGTGCTGTGCCTCTGAGGTGGGAGAGCCAACTTCAGGACACTGGTCCACAAGAGACCTCCCTGATCCACATAATATGAAACGGCCAAAATCTCCCAGAGATCTCCATCTCAACACCAGAACCCAGCTTCACTCAACGACCAGCAAGCTACAGTGCTGGACAACCTATGCCAAACAACTAACAAGACAGGAACACAACACCACCCATTAGCAGAGAGGCTGCCTAAAATCATAATAAATCCACAGACACCCCAAAACACACCACCAGACATGGACCTGCCCACCAGAAAGATAAGATCAAGCCTGACCCACCAGCACACAGGCACTAGTCCCCTCCACCAGGAAGCCTACACAACCCACTGAACGAACCTTAGCCACTGGGAACAGACACCAAAAACAACGGGAACTACGAACGTGCAGCCTGCAAAAAGGAGATCCCAAACACAGTAAGATAAGCAAAATGAGAAGACAGAAAAACACACAGCAGATGAAGGAGCAAGAAAAAAACCCACCAGACCTAACAAATGAAGAGGAAATAGGCAGTCTACCTGAAAAAGAATTCAGAATAATGATAGTAAAGATGATCCAAAATCTTGAAAATAGAATAAACAAAATGCAAGAAACATTTAACCAGGACCTAGAAGAACTAAAGATGAAACAAACAACAATGAAGAACACAATAAATGAAATTAAAAATACTCTAGATGGGATCAATAGCAGAATAACTGAGGCAGAAGAACGGATAAGTGACCTGGAAGATAAAATAGTGGAAATAACTACTGCAGAGCAGAATAAAGAAAAACGAATGAAAAGAACTGAGGACAGTCTCAGAGATCTCTGGGACAACATTAAACGCATCAACATTCTAATTATAGGGTTTCCAGAAGAAGAAGAGAAAAAGAAAGGGACTGAGAAAATATTTGAAGACATTATAGTTGAAAACTTCCCTAATATGGGAAAGGAAATAGTTAATCAAGTCCAGGAAGCACAGAAAGTCCCATACAGGATAAATCCAAGGAGAAATATGCCAAGACACATATTAATCAAACTGTCAAAAATGAAATACAAAGAAAACATATCAAAGCAGCAAGGGAAAACCAACAAATAACACACAAGGGAATCCCCATAAGGTTAACAGCTGATCTTTCAGCAGAAACTCTGCAAGCCAGAAAGGACTGGAAGGACATATTTAAAGTGATGAAGGAGAAAAACCTGCAACCAAGATTACTCTACTCAGCAAGGATCTCATTCAGATTTCATGGAGAAATTAAAACCTTTACAGACAAGCAAAAGGTGAGAGAGTTCAGCACCACCAAACCAGCTTTACAACAAATACTAAAGGAACTTCTCTAGGCAAGAAACACAAAAGAAGGAAAAGACCTACAATAACGAACCCAAAACAATTAAGAAAATGGGAACAGGAACACACATATCGATAATTACCTTAAATGTAAATGGACTAAATGCTCCCACCAAAAGACACAGATTGGCTGAATGGATACAAAAACAAGACCCATATATATGCTGTCTACAAGAGACCCACTTCAGACCTGGAGACACATACAGACTGAAAGTAAGGGAATGGAAAAAGATATTCCATGCAAATGGAAACCAAAAGAAAGCTGGAGTAGCAATTCTCATATCAGACAAATAGACTTTAAAATAAAGACTATTAGAAGAGACAAAGAAGGACACTACATAATGATCAAGGGATCAATACAAGAAGAAGATATAACAATTGTAAATATTTATGCACCCAACATAGGAGCACCTCAATACATAAGGCAAATACTAAAAGCCATAAAGGGGAAAATCGACAGTAAGACATTCATAGTAGGGGACTTTAACACCCCACTTTCACCAATGGACAGATCATCCAAATGACAATAAATAAGGAAACACAAGCTTTACATGATACATTAAACAAGATGGACTTAATTGATATTTATAGGAAATTCCATCCAAAAACAACAGAATACACTTTCTTCTCAAGTGCTCATGGAACATTCTCCAGGATAGATCATATCTTGGGTCACAAATCAAGCCTTGGTAAATTTAAGAAAATTGAAATTGTATCAAGTATCTTTTCCGACCACAACACTATGAGACTAGATATCAATTACAGGAAAATATCTGTAAAAAATACAAACACATGGAGGCTAAACAATACACTACTTAATAACGAAGTGATCACTGAAGAAATCAAAGAGGAAATCAAAAAATACCTAGAAACAAATGACAATGCAGACACGACAACCCAAAATCTATGGGATGCAGCAAAAGCAGTTCTGAGAGGGAAGTTTATAGCAATACAATCCTACCTTAAGAAACAGGAAACATCTCGAATAAACAACCTAACATTGCACCTAAAGCAATTAGAGAAAGAAGAACAAAAAAAACCCAAAGTTAGCAGAAGTAAAG